GCAACGCCAGGGTTGTGGGTTCGATTCCCACGGGGGGCCAGTATAAAAAAAAGATGTATTCACTAACTGTAAGTCACTCTGGATAAGAGCGTCTGCTAAATGACTAAAATGTAAATGTAAATGTAAGAAGGTCAAGGGAGGGTGGCTGTTTGGATAAAGAGGGGGTTCCGATATAATATGAAAAGGAGACCAAGCAGACATGGGGATAGACAGGAAAGAAGCTAGACAAAGAAACCATAGTGGCTCAGATATGATATGAAAAGATGAAGCTGTATAAAAAGAGAGCTCCAAGTATGGGACGGCAGTTGCTCTGTAGACCAGCTCAGCTCTATCGCTTCTGTAATAAAGGCGATCTTGATTCGACAAAAACTCTGAAAGTACTTTGTTTGTTTGATAATTTTCTACAACAGAATCAGGACCAATAAAGCCAGTGCTACAGCCTGTTTTAAAAACGGTAGGCTTACCACATACAGTGGGGAGAACAAGTATTTGATACACTGCCGATTTTGCAGGTTTTCCTACTTACAAAGCATGTAGAGGTCTGTAATTTTTATCATAGGTACACTTCAACTGTGAGAGACGGAATCTAAAACAAAAATCCAGAAAATCACATTGTATGATTTTTAAGTAATTAATTTGCATTTTATTGCATGACATAAGTATTTGATCACCTACCAACCAGAAATAATTCTGGCTCTCACAGACCTGTTCATTTTTCTTTAAGAAGCCCTCCTGTTCTCCACTCATTACCTGTATTAACTGCACCTGTTTGAACTCGTTACCTGTCTAAAAGACACCTGTCCACAAACTCAATCAAACAGACTCCAACCTCTCCACAATGGCCAAGACCAGAGAGCTGTGTAAGGACATCAGGGATAAAATTGTAGAGCTGCACAAGGCTGGGATGGGCTACAGGACAATAGGCAAGCAGCTTGGTGAGAAGGCAACAACTGTTGGCGCAATTATTAGAAAATGGAAGAAGTTGAAGATGACGGTCAATCACTCTCGGTCTGGGGCTCCATGCAAGATCTCACCTCGTGGGGCATCAATGATGATGAGGAAGGTGAGGGATCAGCCCAGAACTACACGGCAGGACCTGGTCAATGACCTGAAGAGAGCTGGGACCACAGTCTCAAAGAAAACCATTAGTAACACACTACGCCGTCATGGATTAAAATCCTGCAGCGCACGCAAGGTCCCCCTGCTCAAGCCAGCGCATGTCCAGGCCCGTCTGAAGTTTGCCAATGACCATCTGGATGATCCAGAGGAGGAATGGGAGAAGGTCATGTGGTCTGATGAGACAAAAATAGAGCTTTTTGGTCTAAACTCCACTCGCCGTGTTTGGAGGAAGAAGAAGGATGAGTACAACCCCAAGAACACCATCCCAACCGTGAAGCATGGAGGTGGAAACATCATTCTTTGGGGATGCTTTTCTGCAAAGGGGACAGGACGACTGCACCGTATTGAGGGGAGGATGGATGGGGCCATGTATCGCGAGATCTTGGCCAACAACCTCCTTCCCTCAGTAAGAGCATTGAAGATGGGTCGTGGCTGGGTCTTCCAGCATGACAACAACCCGAAACACACAATCAGGGCAACTAAGGAGTGGCTCCGTAAGAAGCATCTCAAGGTCCTGGAGTGGCCTAGCCAGTCTCCAGACCTGAACCCAATAGAAAATCTTTGGAGGGAGCTGAAAGTCCATATTGCCCAGCGACAGCCCCAAAACCTGAAGGATCTGGAGAAGGTCTGTATGGAGGAGTGGGCCAAAATCCCTGCTGCAGTGTGTACAAACCTGGTCAAGACCTACAGGAAACGTATGATCTCTGTAATTGCAAACAAAGGTTTCTGTACCAAATATTAAGTTCTGCTTTTCTGATGTATCAAATACTTATGTCATGCAATAAAATGCAAATTAATTACTTAAAAATCATACAATGTGATTTTCTGGATTTTTGTTTTAGATTCCGTCTCTCACAGTTGAAGTGTACCTATGATACAAATTACAGACCTCTACATGCTTTGTAAGTAGGAAAACCTGCAAAATCGGCAGTGTATCAAATACTTGTTCTCCCCACTGTAGATGGGCATTCATTAAACTCAATTTCAGGCAACACTGTAGGCTAGTAAGCGCGGACCGATGCCTTTTGAACGTTTTTTTGTGCAGTTCGGACCGGCCTTGATTTCAACATCCAAGGGCACAGATTTTTGGTCCGGTTGAAATCAGGTTAATTTTTGGTTTTGAATGAAAGTTGAAAAAAACTTTTTTATAGACGTCTTTGTTTGGGCCAAATCAAGGCTGGTCCAGACCGGACAAAATCTGAACCAAACATGGACGTCCATGATTCGTTCAGATTTGGTCCAGAAAATACCAATTTTTCAATGTCCGGAAAAGATGCCTTTTCAACATCCTGGAAAATATGTATTTTAAACATACATTTTCAACTTTCATTCAGAACCTAAATTTAACATAACATCAACGTCTGGAAAATACATATTTTAAATGTAATTTTGCTTACTGGGACTATTCTAGTTTTGCAGGGGGCAGCGGAACGGCAAGGACCGGCCCTGATTGATGGGAACAAAGTAGTAAAATGTTGGATAATCACTGACTAGTGTGTCTCCTACAGACTAATCCTGCTGCTGATGACAATGACCTTGACACCAGTTTTAATAGTACAGAGCCTGTAGACCCATATGTACAAAAAGTCCAGCAATTTCTTAACGGTTCACCCGATATGGATGATGAAAATACCCTCAAATTAAAGCTGACAGTTTGTACCTCATAGTCATTGTATAATTTCAACAAAAAATGTGTCACTGTCCTAATACTTTTGGAGCTCACTGTAGCTCCAGTGAACCTGTAAACTAGTACCTCCCCCGTTTTGAAAAGCCTGCCTTCGAGGGTGGGAACAATTCATTGGGCTCCCGTCAGGCTGTAGTCTTTACAAAGCCAAGCAAAATGAGACAACCTAGAAATCCTGCAATGTCCTGGCAGATAGTCCAATGGCTCTATTGAACAAGGACAACCATATCTACTCGCTGCTAGCGTGATCATGCAATTGGCGAAACACAAAGGCCACAATAATTGCTACAAAACATGACTTCATTAATTTCTTGATCAGACAGCAGGCTCAATCAATCAATGACGTCATTGGTTGAACTCTCCCGGCGCACAAAATAACAAAAATACAGCTATAGTGCACAATTATGTCTGAAGCACCCTCTCATCACTCATAATTGTAGAGAGGCTGGAAAAACACCCCAAATAGTGTCTAGCGGCGAAGATTCCCTTTAACAGTCCCATTCTACAACCTCATTATTTGCCAAGGTCTTTACATGTAAAGATCGACCTTAGCCAATAGCAATGTGTCTAATGATTATTATGTGCAATGTCTTTGTAATGATGTTTGTATGTTGTCTGTTCGTATATATAATATTTTTCTTGTTTATTTGATCACCTGACTGGGGACTGCAGACGGAAATTGGCTGCTGGCTCAATCTGGTAAAACAAATATTTTCTTCTTAAGTGTACTGAGACTGTTGTACTGTACATTGTCCCTCTTCAAATAAAGTTTTTTTCGGAGAAAAACCTACAATTTAGAATGTTTGCTTGTGATATAAATCATTGTTGCTACGGTTTTGCATTTCATATCCAAGGGACTCTAGAATTCGAAACGTTTAGTTAAATTGTTGTGACAAGATGAGGAGCCAATACAACTCGAGGGAGGGAGGCAGATGGGCACCGGTTGCCAGTCAAATCACAGGACCATTCGTGTTTGTAGCCAGGGTGGGAAATGAACTCCCGCCACCCGCCAAATGAGGGTAGATTTTGGCATTGGCGGGTATGAATGTCTGTTTCACAAGCCTCGTTGGCGGGTGGTCACACACAGCATTTGGGAACAGTTTTTTTATTCCAAACCCCAAATGTAGAAGTTGGTCAAATTGACCTGAAAGGCTACTAAAGTGTGACTTTGTCCTCGTGTTTCTTGGTTAGTTACATCGTTTTGTTCACACACTAGGTTGTTTTTCAATTTAGTTTGAGTTTGCTGCAACTCTGCGGCTAGCACAAACACAGAGATTCTCATCTCTGACAGACAGACACCGAGGGGCAGCTGATCATTTTTGTCTCACCTAATGACTCAAATATTTGAGGGTACATTGTGCTTGATTGAACATGGAACACTCCAAAAACCTTTTATTCATGTACCTTTAGTAATTTCTTATCATTAAAACACTCAAATAATTTCATTGTGCTCCGAAATGTATTTGTGTGCTCCTAAATATCAGCGTTACAGCCCTGAACTAATAATAATAATAAATAAGCCATATCACTCAGCATTTTGTGGCAGGGCAGGCACTTTGTTTATTGAGCAATATACCACATTACTTCTTACTAGTAATACATTTATTGTTTTAGAAATATTACAAAGCATGCTCATAATTTATTTGTATTTTATTTTTGGTGTAATTATGGCGAAAACTATTTTGGCTGGTAGAAAATCTGAGTGGGCTGGTAGATGTATAAATCTACCTACGACAGTGCCTGGTGGACCAAAAAGTAAATTTACCACCCTGGTTGTAGCCTGTTGAGAGGGCCTATGTTTATCTATAAACCATGGATATCAATAAAGAAATTCAAGTTATGTGAGGATCCTTATCCCCACCGTGGTCAGGATGATCATATTCTGTCTGTCAATCATGAATTTGACCAGATCTAATCTCTCTGATTTATAGAACAAAGATTGCCCATAGGGTGAAACAAGTAGCCTCAATTATTGAAAATGGAAAAGATAATCTCAATCACCAAGAGAGTTCACAGGATTCCTACGCTACAACGTGATGAAATATTGATTATTTAATGGTTTCTTTCAACAACGCTCATTATTTGTAGCTGGTGAATTTAAGAAAATATATCAGTTTTAAGGCTTTATTTCATCTACTTTCCTAGTCTGTTGGTTAGTCTACTAAAGGTTTTATTTCTGTATATAAAAAAATAAGTTTTAATTCTCACTGGAATCACAGTCTCCATTGGCACAGTTTGTCTGTTCTGTGGGATGGTCCTGAAACTTCACTGGAACGTACAGGGGTTCACTCTGAAGTAAGAAAGAAAGTCTTCAACTAATGCACTTTACTAAAAGCATTACTTATCATCACATTTATTACAGTATATTCAGCCAGCCAACAGTAAGATCTAAATACGAGTCAGGGAGAATACAAAAAGCAAATCAACTATACTCACTAGGGTATGGTCATTCAAACTGGTGTTGTTGATACAGGGGGTAAAGTAGGCTTCGGCATCAGCAAACTATGGAAAGGTGCTGTAGGTTAGACTGGGCTGTTTGGTCATAGCAAATCAACATTACCTTAGTATCAACGCCCACTTCTAATTTACTGCATGCGCTAAGCAACCATTTATCTTTAGATGGAAACAACAATGTTTTGTTGCCCCCCTGTGGTTGTGGGACATCAGTGCTATACGTACAAAGGCAGCGTGTCGTCCCCGGAGACTGCACGTGCACTGCTGCCTCCATGGCCTCCACAGCAGGAACCCCAACAGGTACAGCACAAACATGGAGGTCTTGGTGAACGTGCTGAAGAAGGGCTTATTGTACTCCTGCCGCTTGAATATGTACTGGGGGAAAATAGAGGTGAAAAAAGTATGACTTACTGTACGAATGTCTGGCACTTCAAACCAATCCAGTGCTGATTATTTATTATATTTTTATTTGGGGGGTGAGGTCACTTTGAAACTATTGAGATGTGGCTATTCCTAGTACAGTGCGGCCTAATTCCAAACTGTCCCCTAGTCCCTAAACCCTTGCCCCACTAGTAGGCAAGGTGGAGTTACTACCATATTCCTATTCAATCCGTTCAGATCTACACAAGTGCCTATGGGGTAGGGGTTAGGGTAAAGCATTGTCTTATAATTGGGCACTAGTCTTAAGATTGAGCATATTAGCCGAAATAAAGGGTGCCTAACCAGGCCACCCATTTCTGCAGTGCTGCTGGTTTTCATTTCTCCCTGTGCACTGTAATTGTCTGTAGCTTGCACTTGCCAATCAGTTCAAGCTAAAAAGCAAATACAAGAAGAAGTAGGACTGTGGCTCACGAAACCAGGGGAGTTGTGCGCCCCTGGACTACAGGAAGTGCTAGTGTCTTACTGAGGTGAGCTCGGAGGAAGCCACCCAGATGACGTCCACCAGCAGGAGGATGACCACTCCCAGGGCCATGCGTCTCTGCTGGGTGACCGTGCTGCCCTGAGAACCCATCCGGTTCATGATGAACACCCACACCATCTGGACAATGCAGGACAAACACACAAACACAGACATGTTATTACACACGCACACACACACATTTCAAAACTTTTCACAAACTAATTCCAAAAACAGATGTCTGGGAGATGTTCTTCAGATGTGACATAGTGACAGTACCTGGAAATCCTAATACAGGATTCTTCAGAGTTTTGGACTTTCTGACTCAGGACAGGCAGGAATCTGAAACAGTGTCAAAGTAGATAATGAGAAACATTGTCCAACAGTCCTATATGGAGTGCACAAAACTCATCAACCGCAATCTATTATCCCTTCATATTGTTATGCAACACTGAACATTACTGTTGGGGTGAAAATCCATATAGATATCTGAAACCCAGACAAAGATGATATAGAATAGGCCTAACTGTTTGGTGAGAATGGTTTCACAGGACACAAGAATGTGGGTTTTCTTCAGAGCCACCTCAACCAAAACTTCTTTGTGACATTACAAACTAATTTTAACAAATTTTTCTCACATCTGTACACTTTTCAACTGGTTTACCCACAAATATTAGAGCTTACAATTACTTTTTAAGAACTCTTTAGGATTTTACCGGGTCGACCCCAAGAAAGGCACGTCGGCTAAATGTTGTCCCGATATGAACGTTTTAGCCTGCTCTAGGTGTTGCTGTGCAGACCAGTTCAGGAAAGACGAACACAAACATGGGGCTTCACAGGCACCTGCAATGAAATGGGAGAACCAAATTAGAACCAGACTATGTTCATTATCATAGCTAACACAATTACAAACCTAATTTTTGAACAACAGAAAGACAGGCAGAGGAAAGGAATAAGAAATCAATCAGCAGAAAAGAGGTAGGCCTCCACACAGACGGGTATGACGGGACTATTCACTGATTAGTCTGAAAAGTCATTGAAGTATGTTATGCTCTCCTAATCATAGCACATAAGCCTAAATCACTCCTTCTAGATTTGACTAAATGCACATTTTTGCACCACCTGAGTGAACACATGAAGCTCTCTCATGGGTGTATTTACTGAAAACCAAATGGAAGAAAATGGGCCAAAACAGGGACCTACCTGAACTTGTCCTTTTGAAACATGGCCTATCCACAACGGGACATGAGAAGACTCATGAGACCATAGTCCTACTGGTAAAATGCAGTTGGTGGTACTTTAACCGAAAAAGGTTGGGAACCACTGGATTAGTAGAAAGGGAGCGGATCATGAATGAACGCATTCATTGTTCATAATGTTTACTCAGTGCGGCCTTAGCTAGGCTAGTCTACTAGGGAGGAATCATGTGTGCTAACGTTACAACTATGCAGAAGTTGATTGATCCTTTGCAAAAGGTGTTTCAGATTTGCATTATTTAACTACAAAAGTAGCCTGCATCCACAGCAAAGAACTGTGGAGTAAATTATACATACATTCCCGATGAAGGTCAGAAAAAACGTACTGGTATTTTTAGCCAAGTAGCTAAGTCAAGTAATCATGGTCAAGGAGGAATGCACAAATAAAAACTCAGCAAAAAAAGAAACGTCCCTTTTTCAGGACCCTTTCCTTTAAAGATAATTTGTAAAAATCCAAATAACTTCACAGATCTTCATTGTAAAGGGTTTAAACACTGTTTCCCATGCTTGTTCAATGAACCATAAACAATTAATGAACGTACACCTGTGGAACGGTCGTTAAGATACTAACAGCTTACAGACGGTAGGCAATTAAGGTCACAGTTATGAAAACTTAGGACACTAAAGAGGCCTTTCTACTGACTCTGAAAAACACCAAAAGAAAGATGCCCAGGGTCCCTGCTCATCTGTGTGAACGTGCCTTAGGCATGCTGCAAGGAGGCATGAGGACTGCAGATGTGGCCAGGGCAATAAATTGCAATGTCCGTACTGTGAGACGCCTAACACAGCGCTACAGGGAGACAGGACGGACAGCTGATCGTCCTCGCAGTGGCAGACCACGTGTAACAACACCTGCACAGGATCGGTACATCCGAACATCACACCTGCGGGACAGGTACAGGATGGCAACAACTGCCTGAGTTACACCAGGAAGACCCCCCCTTTGTTCAGGGACACATTATTCAATTTATGTTAGTCACATGTATGTGGAACCTGTTCAGTTTATGTCTCAGTTGTGAATCTTATGTTCATACAAATATTTACACATGTTAAGTTTGCTGGAAATAAACGCAGTTGACAGTGAGAGGACGTTTCTTTTTTTGTTGAGTTTATATTTGTCAAAGGGGTGAGATGAGTTTGACACGTCACTCTGAGTCTGACAGATTACTGTCTGTAACACTATAGTTAGTTGGAGGTAGTGTTTGCAGAGCTGCCCTTCATTTGATAATCAGAGATCTTTCTAAGCAGCTAGCTAGCTCGATTCATCATTCATAGGACAAACAAGAGCGAAAGAGGGGGTAGTTAGCTTGCTAACAAGATAATCAATATCTTCCTCTGCTCGCAAGGACTCACAAGCTTGTTAACTAGCTGCAACATCATGCCGATTAGACAGCCGTTAGCAAATGTAGCTAGCTAGTTAACCCGAATTAGTTTGAAATGAATGTAACAAGTTATTTTTGCAATATTGGAAATGCAGTACTAGAGCCATTATTATTAGATAACGCGTGAGCTAGCTAGTTTACAGCTACATACAGTAGCTAGTTAACGTTACCATCAACAAATCATTCGTATTTACCTAGCTAGCTAGCTAGATGATAAGTAGGTTTCGTTCTATTTGACGTGGTCGATAATTATTCGTCTTTGCAGGAAAATACAACAGCTTGATCGTCGGTAATAAATGTAGAGTATGCGATGATGACAACCCATATCTACACAAACTGGTTTGGTTGTAAACATTAACAATCCTTGTGATTCCTGGTCAGGTGACTCTGCTTAGGCATTTAAATAAGACGCTGAGACTTGGGATATGTAGTCTTAATTCGGCGCCATGTAGAATATTTTACACTCAACAAGACTTCATTTTCCATGAAGCAGCTGGAGTGCAGTTCGGGTTGGTAGAAAACCTACATTATTTAATTGACATGTAGACCTACACAGAATCAACAAATTGATATGGGATGTATATTTTATTGACATGTACAGTATGAAAAAAGATATACATTAATCAAAGCAATCCATATATTGAAGGAAATACTAATATATATCGCAGTATTAAAAAACAACAACAACAGTTAAACAACCATCAATCTAAATCTACATATCATTGGGGGCATGTGTCAACATTCATTTATCAAATTTGATTCATCAATACAATTAATACGATTGTTGAAGCAATACTATAATGGCTACCATTTTAAAGATTAATTCCATTTGTTGAAGGAATACTATACCATATATCAGTTATTTGGAATAAAATAATTGCACTAGACTAGTGCACACGCCTGAGAAGAGGACCATTGTGATATTGCAAGGTTTTAGAAATCCATAATCCATGCCCTTTTTCTCAGATTTGTCAGAAAAACAGAGACAGTGGGAACCAGACAGATCTTTTGAAGGTCCTCGTGCAAATGCTAAATGACATATTGCATCTGTCTGATGATAATGATGACCCATTGTATCTGATGGCAATTTTGGAAAGGTCTATTAGAAATTGTGCCGAATTCTTTGGCTCGGATTTGAGAAAAATTATGGAATTATATAAAAATGTAGTGGGATGAAAACAACATACTATACACATAAGTATATGACAACATAGACAAATTGGAAGGAAGTCAAGTATATGTTGACAAAATAGATTAATCCATTGGCTATGAATTTCGCACTGTCTAATGCATGTTTGTATTAGAATGCAATGGGTTAATTATGTAGCTAACGCTGTAAAACTCATTCCTGGCCCAGAGAATGTGTGTATTTAAATTGATGTGCACTAGGCCAAAGGTCAGTGACTGAGATGTGTGTATCTCATACTACTGCAACATTATATTATTTTATTAGATGTTATTAAGGCACAACCACCTATTGTGTCACGTTTTATTCGCCTGCAGTGGTGTAGTGCTATTATTTTAGGTGAGGGAGAAAAAATAAAAACATTAATGACGTCATCATTTCCTCCATCAAAGTTTGTACCAACAGATGGAGCCTATTTAATAGCCTATCATTATAGAATATGCATTAAATGCATCTTCCAATTGCAACGCCTGTCTATGCCCACACACATTGTCTCAAGAAAAGGTTATATTTTTAATACCCTCAAACACCAAGTTAGGCATATCTCATTTTAAAATAGGCCATCATCACTGTCAATCGTGAATTATAATTCTTCACGTTTTCATTTGATTTATCTCAATCAGTTTCATGGGAATATGCATTTAGATCTTCTTGAATTACTGTTTCGTCGGCGAATAAGAGCAAATGGTGTTAAACTATTAACCTTTTCTTGTATGTTCAATCAAACTTAGTGAGTGGCGGACTCTATCCTAAAATCTCATTAGAAATTAGGAGGTGTTTTTGGTGTATCAGTAAAGTTATACTATGCTATGCTATTATATTCAGTTCTGTTATTTAAATTCATAATTATCTGATCTTGCAAGACATTGATTTATGGAGCGATTTTAGTGTCAACAGAAATTGTATTTGAATTCGATACTTTTGAATTTGTATTAAAGATATTGAATTTGAATTTAATATTTTTGAATTTGTAATGCACAAGTGTAATCATCGAATTCATAAATTGAACTTGTATTTCATGATTTGAAATTGAATTGAGTGAATATTGCATTCAGTTTTTAAAATTATATTTCGATTTAGTTGAAATTCAATATTTATATGTTCAGTTTCAATGTGGTAGATATTGCATTGATTGTCTGTGTATGACGTTTACAAACTATCATTTGAAGTTTCCTAAACTTCTCAGATACATTCGGGTCCGTGTGCTTATGGGTAATTCATATTTCTTTTCATCTCAGCAAGGCCAAACAAGGAACTTAATCGTTTTATAATTTTTCTAGTTGAAAACCAAAACGAAAATTGAATATTAACCTGTTCTCGTTCATGGTTTCCACATTGGGCATTGAGTAACAG